TGTGTGTTTGTGGCTGCTTGTACTTTTCAGGACTGATGCAGATTAATAGTTCTAGCTCACTGAGATACCATGCCGCAGTTTAACATAAATATCACACTCAGACACAGTATCTTGACTCCGAGCCGACCAGTCCTTGTTTTAGCTCCTTAATGCCGAGCGCCAGACAGGGTAACAACAAGTACCATCTTTTATCGTCTTTTGGTATGACGCGACCGGGGATCGAAGCCCGGACCTTCTGCTCTCCGGGCGGACGCTCTACCACTAGACCAAGGAGGCGGTCCCTGTTTAATCAATGTACGTTATATTTGTTTCATGTCAACAAAGCGACATAGTCATAACCAGCTCTGCGTCACTGCCAAACTACGTGTTCTACAAAGGCAATTAAGCTTGTCGTAAGAAGTGACTAACGGGATCGGGTGGTCAGGCTCGCTGACTTGGTTGATGCATGTCATCGTATCCAAATTGCGTAGATCGATGCTCATGATGTCAGTCACTGGATGTCTGGTCCACATTCGATTATTTACAATCCGCAGTCACTTAGCAGGAATACTGCTAAATGCGGCGTTAAGCAATAAACAAACAAACAAATCCTCCTGACCACAAATGTAGCATTGCTCCCGCCAACAAACCCTGACCCAAACCACCAACCCCAAAAGACCAAAGGACGATGACACACAGACATACGGATAAGCAAGTGGTTATTAGTAGACAAAGCTCCACTCTGTCCTGAATGCTTGAAATCTAAGAATGATGGAACCACTGACAAAACGGTGTCTGGTGTTTCACTGTTCCTCCGGAGATCAGGAGTGGATATTACGGAACACACAAGCCCGGGATTGGTAGTTACTGCTACTTCCAGATGCTATGGCAGTGCTGTAGACTCATCAGTGTAGCAACTATATGGAGACCTTTGCTGTGTTGGTCGTAGTCGTTTAACATAGCGGCGCTGAATACGTCTTCAAAGCATTGATTGACATTTGAAAGTTGGTAGAACACGAACCCTAGATGCCTATGTGTGAAACAACTTGTTCAGTACTCAATCTGTCTTCATAGTTAATGTTTCTAATTGTAAAAGAAAAGAAAATATCCTATAAGTGAATTTAACAGTGGTAGGCGTCTATTAGCAATTTTCAAAATTGTTATCCTTGATAGTTTCCCGTCTTCTGAGTCAATGCTACTTCTGTAAAACGACAACAAGCGTGTGATATCGGTAGGCGTCTATTAGCAATTTGAGAAAGTGTTATCCAATAAAGGTTCTTGTCTTCATAATCAATGTTACTTCTGTTAAAGAAAGACAAACAGTAGAAAGGCGTCTCTATTTCCATCGAGTCTTCTCAAAGCAACGGGGCTGCTTGTGTACAGTATCACAATACCCACCATGCAGAAGACGTATCAGAACAGCGCGATCATGGTGCTCGAGAACCTTCAGAATAGCGTCAAGGCAAAGAAGGCGATATGCTTGTTGACCAAGTGCCAGAATTGATACCATGGCACTTGTTGACACGACTGAGAGGGCAGAAGGGACCGTGTCCCCTCTCTGTGGCTCACTGCAGTCTCTGAAACCAAATCCCAAGTCGAGTCAGTGCTTTGAGCTCTCATCGGCAGATGCCTGGGGGAAGAACCCGTGATCTGTCCACGGAGTATTTAGGTTCTCCGATATCTATTCTTTACCTCACGTTTTTATTTTAAATTATATTCCTCCTTCGCTTGCGTCATGCTCCGAAAGCATTTTAGATATTTGTTTTTAGCTTAGGCAAATATGCCCGACTCTTCGGTGTTTGAACAGCGATCGTCAAGTTGGTTCGCTGAGGTTATTGTTAAGTAAACATACTATAAGCATTAGAGGTTGCAATACCGGCCCCACACCCGTTGTTTAAAGACTATGGTATGGGTAATAAGAAAGAGAATCTACCCCATTTGACTGAGAATATGCTGGGCACAGAATATTGTTTACTTCCAGCGGCTACACCAGTTGAGCCGACCGCAGAGGAAGGTATGCACTCGTCGGCCCCTGGCGGGTACACAGATAGGGTTACAGCTACTCTAGGGGTGGGGGAAGCGAGGGGGACGCAGGCGTCTGTTATCACTTTCATCATACACCGTAAGAATCCGGTGTGTATCGTCCGTGACTTAAGTGGTCATATGTACACTGCCGGGACATAGCAGGAACTTAGCAATATATACACTCTTGGGTCAATTAGAATCACTTTCAGTACAAGGGGCATTCTTTTGTCGTTTACAGGCAATACAGCATGTTCTTTTGTTTAGACATAAACACAATTTAATGGAGGTTTTTATTCAATATTTTGTTTTTCTTGTATGGGTATTGGTAATTTTCAATTCTTATCATTGCGCACTGCTCTTGTACTATTTGATTGTTTCATGATTAAATGACGACGGTGGTATGCTCTGCGACATGCATTAGTTAATGGTGATTTGATTTATGATTGTTATGGTAGTGGTGGAGTGGATTAATTGACCCGGAGGCGATAATTCCGCCTTGAGCTCCTTAAAGACATTCCAAGTAAACATGGAATGGTAAAATTGAAGAAACGGTCGTTAAATATTTAAATATTGACGATGTTGACATCTAATGTTCGAGAATACCCTGCTGGTGAAATAAATGACCCCTCGGTCTCTACCACGACGCTATGTATTCGCGCCGTGGTGACATTTTTATGACCAGCGGAGTACAAACAAACGTTCCATTATCGCGAACACTTCGCGGAACGGTCGCGATCAAAGGGGCGTGTGTTTTGTGCAGTAGTGTAGTTGGAATTTGGCTCTTCAACGGACGCCATCGTTAAAATTAATCGTCCAATGGTACATTTTAACACTTGTCATACTTGGCGAGTGATGGACGCCAATGGGGGGTCCGATGTAACATCATTAATGTGCTGTAGCATCTCTTACGAAAGCGAAATGCTTTATATCTTCGTATATTGCTGCGTGGTTCACGAAACAGACGTTTCACTTGTATGACTTCATCGTAAGGTATCTCATCACAACCTTTCATAACTTACGCCTTTCGCTGTGCATTTAGGTAGATTGTATGTGTTGGAGTTACACTACTGTTCAAAATAAACGTTCCCTTGAATGCGACGAGTACGCGATCGCTGAGACTTGTTTTGACCAGTAGTGCAAACACAAATTTCCCAACTCCGCGAACGGGGGCACACAACTGGCGCTGCGGTAGCGATGTTGGGCTGTTTGTTTTGACTAGTAGTGTACCTCGCCATTTTATATGGCTTAGGTCTTGGATGAAGGATCCGGTCTGTTCACAGCAAACTGTACATATTCAACGTCATGTTTTTCAAAGTGGTGCGCCCATTTGTACTCAAACTTAGGAGTCATGGTGAAATTCAAGTGAACATGACTGACTCATTTATATCTGCAGCATGCGTCTACCTCAGTAGCACATTAATTGCTGGTTACAAGAGGGGAATGACATTGGTCACGTGATATGTATGTTGATGCTAACTTAAGTGCATCCTGCATCTCGGGAAATATAAACGTGAGCTATGTTAACAGTACACAATTATTTTTGTTTCTGAAGACATATTTGAAAACAAAACATTTCTTTACAAGATTTGTCTACACAGTCCTGTTAAATCGAAGTGGTACTGATTAGTGGAATTATGGACTTGGCTTATCCGTATCGGTATATCTTCTGTTGGCTTCACTAATACTGAATGTCATTATGTGTGATGCGATGTTGAAATGTCTGTCTGGTGGACCGTCAGGTGAAGTGACGTGAGAAGGCGTTTTTGTTTCACGTTAGATGCTGTGTCTGAGTCATATCAGTCAGCGGTGTGATGAGTGAGTGAGTGAGTATGGTTTTACGCCGCTTTTAGCAATATTCCAGCAATATCCCGGCGGGGGACACCGGAAATGGGCTTCACACATTGTACCCATGTTGGTAATCGAGCCCGGGTCTTCGGCGTGACGAGCGAACGCTTTAACCACAAGGCTACCCGACCAGCGGTGTGATGAATTATTTCCCCAAATGCTAAATGGCACAGCTTTCAACAAACCTGACTTCACGTATAACATTGATAGCTTTTAGGTCTCAAGACCTTTACAGGCGTTTTAAATTAATGAACAACATGATCTTGGATTGAATATTATTATGTACTTGCTGAAATGTTTACAAATGTAATTTTGTTTTGAATTGTTCTTATCGTGTCTGTATCGATGATTTTTTATCGACTTCTTTTTTTAAATCGTCTTATTGTATTTTAACGACATTACAATTTCACGTTTACCCTACAAAACCACACGTCCTTACAGTTTTTTGTGGGTGATCCATTCATTCATTGACAGGACAGAATGAAATACGCCAAAAGCTTTTCAGCACCTGTCCTACAAAAGAAAAACATCTTCTGTATAGTGGCTTTAAATTACCCCAGACAAAAACCTCATTACCGACTAAGCGTGTCTACTCACTTAAAGTAATCTATTTCAGTCCTTGTGTTCATTTCATATGTCAGTAAACCGTTGACGAGCGCAACGATGTTAATATCACTGCCAGAGACAGGTGCCCGTTGCTTGGTAACCTGATATACATCAAAACATGTACATTAAATTGCATTTTTCAATTTAAAAGACACTTTGAGTCAGACATGGAAATGGGGTCTTTGTATGAGAATGAATTCCAATTGAAATGGGTTGAATTCTCTTCTCAAAGTTTTTCTGTATTGAAATGTTCTTTTCCTTTTCTCAGTTGATGCGAAGTTTCAACTTTTGTAATTTACTCGAGATTATATCAGTGAATCTTTAATGGCACGTTTTGTAAGTTAACCTTTCTACTGTCAACATATATTTTTCAGATGACAGCATAAATAAGTTATTATTTTCAATATATCGAAATGGCGAATTGAAACAAAGAATCTCGTCTTGACGTTTTAACAACATTTAGTTGACATTCTGAGCACTGTATTTTAATTTTTTGTCATCGTTATCCATAAAGAATCTAATGAAGTATTTTATTCTATTTTCAGAATGGATTACTTTTATAATAATAAAGGATTTTCCACAAAGGTAAGCTTGATTCTGTTCCAAATTACAATTGTACAGCGTGCTACTACAATCATTACACAACGCAGTGTGTATGAAGCCGTACAACCTATATCATATGGAAGACTAAATGTATAACATTTCTAAGACTAAAGCATATAGCATATAGAAATATATTGCCTTAAAAAAAAGTACAATGTATAAATCTTCATACGTTTATGTGTATACAGATTCCTCTGTAAAGCATTTGAAAGACTAGGGCCTATAGTAAATAGAAGGCTAAGTGTGCAGCATATAAAGTTCACGTACTAGAAAGTAAAGAATATAAAAGACTTTAAAATACAGCGCCAACAACGTATATAGCATGCATAAGACAACAATGAATAGAGACTTGGGCGTATGGCATTTGTAAGACTACAATGTATGGTACATGTAAGACTAAATCTTTTTATCACATGGAATCATTTGCGAGCATTGTTCGGCGCCGTTACGGTGTCAGTGCAGGGAACGTGATAGTATCGGGAGACACCAAGCCCTGTACCGGGGGAGGGGAGATACAATCTGGGGCAGGCCACGGCTCCGATCACCCTTACCTGGCAGTTTTACGTTGTGTGCTATTGTTAATGGATGAGTGAGTGAGTGAGTGAGTGAGTGAGTGGGCTACTATTGGTTTCACACATTATACCCATTATATGAGGGGAAGCGTGTTATATTATTATTATTATCATCATCATCATCATCATCATCATCATCATCATTATTATTATTATCATCATCATCATCATCATCATCATCATCATCATCATCATCATCATCATCATTAGTAGTAGTAGTAGTAGTAGTAGTAGTAGTAGTAGTAGTAGTAGTATTATAGCTGACGAAAGCTATAGTATTGCTTATTGAAGTCATTTTCATAAATTCCGCTTCTCCATGTGGTCATACTGATATGTGTAGCTACCTAACCCATCAGCACACTCCAGCCAACCCATTAGGCGTAGCTAGTTGTTGTATAGTGCTATACCGTCGCTGCAGACCACGTTAAACTTCCGTCCCTCACCCACTCACGATGTCACAGTCGTAGCGCTGAGACTGAGTTCAGAAAGCCATCTTAACCGCTGAGACAGTTGTAAGCCCAATACTTTAACACAGTCTCGACAAAATCGCTTTGTGGAACGGGCCGTTACTAACAAAGCAGCCTCGGCGCTACGACTACCACAAACCAGTGTTACAATAGGAGAGTTACGACGTCTTAGTGCTATTTGCGGCTTGCATAACACGGCCCTCGACCGCAAGTTCTCATGTTGATAAGCACTCAGATACTCTTATATCAGAGTGCCGTTGACCAATCCTCAATTCGGGACGAGATTTTTCAACTTGTAGCATATCCTATAAACCTCACGACCTTTCAGTCTACTTGGGTAGCGCCTGGGACATGGTGTACACCCAGCCCGGCTCGTCCTGCGTGCTAACATGCGACTTCAGCCGTATGAACTGATACTCAGCTAGGAAACGGTTCACTTGATAAATTACCCCGAACTTGAAGCAAGTATTTGGAATCTCGTTCATCTAAGAGTAAAGTAGTAATTTCTAGCTATCTATCCCCCTCCGTGACTGTGTCGCCGGGGAGGAGGAATTCCCGCATTCCTGGGGGTAGCGGGGTATCTGAGGGGGACGCCGCACACCCCCTTATTTCTGGCTATCTGTGACACGGGTAGATAACAACAGGCTTAGGCCTACCTCATTATCAAACCTGGTCCCTCGTAGGGTTTACCATACCCTGCGGTACTTTGATTTAGTTGCCCCCTTGTTTTCCTTGTTTAACAAATTTAGCGGGTAACGGTTCAGTTTAGATAAAGCTATTAACACCTCCGATAATGAAGGTCTATTCTGTGTGCGTCGTGCTTCCAACAGCACTACTCGTGTGTTCTGAAGAAGGTTAAGTGTGTTAAAAATTCAGTTCTAACCAAATCCTTTAAATTTCGATATGGTTTGGGGTTTATTGTAAGGGTACCGGGACTCAGCTATTTTTATTGTGATCTGGTTTGAGCAATAGCATTATTAAGTAATATTACATTTCTAACACAAATAACAACACACGGGAGTTACCTGACAGGTCGACCTGAGGGAGAGGCTCGATCCAGAGTTCCATCCATGGTACGACCCAGAATATGTAGAGGGCGTCATGGAAAATGATAAATACAAAATTCTTTGGAATAGGCCCGTATGCTGCCGCAGACCTATCCAGGCCAGCAAACCTGATCTTGTCCTTTTTGATAAATCCAATGAAATCATTTATATTATTGAATTTCGCTTTTGACACAAATGTTAATGACAAGATTCAGAAAAGACATGGCAAATATGCAGACCTCGCTTTCGAAATGTCACGCTTGCATCCCAAGTACCAAGTTGTCCGACTCTCGATTGTTCTCAGTGCCTTAGGTTTGGTACCTCCCAATCTGTTTTCTGACATTGGGAGAATATCCAGGTTTGCTACCAGGAATACATCCCTTCCGACAGTCTCGGTAATGCAGAAGGCTGCAGTGTTGGAGAGTCTTCACATTCTCCGATAAGTTCTGGGTGGGTTTGACTAGGCAGCGCTTCCTGGGAAAAATCCCATTCGCTGTCAGGGCTGCGTGTAGAGGGGGCAAGGGCCCTGAGCTGATGATTAGCCTAACCAGCCGGACTGTGCCAGGATCACCCAAACCCTCTTTCCTGCATTTTTCATTTTTATCTGTAAATAATAATAATGATAATATAATAATGATGATGATGATAATGATGATGATGATGATGATGATGTAAGCACCATACCCAAGCTCAAGAGCGCGACATCGCTAAGAACGAATATACCAAACTTAACATAATAATTTTATTTTGTAAGCATACCATCGCTTTCATGAGGTCATGATGACATATATGAATATGTACGCAAGTTGGTCGTGGGTTCATAGTGCACGCGGTTAGCGAAGTTCACTGGTGTGTGACAGGTAGTCAGGTGCTTATATTGATTTTTGATTATGAATTTTTATAGTTTTAGTTTTTATGAAATATTATGTATTATTAATTTTCATTCATTCGGCAGGAGCGAGATTTAGAAAATGCATATTTCAAGAAATATTAGGATTTTGTAGTTCGCTCGTAAACTTGAGCATTCTCTGTGTGCGTGAGGAAAGGAAGGTCGTTATTACATACTCTGCGCTGTGTGACTAAATCCTTTGTCTCGAACTCCCAATACCCTGGAGATAGAATATGGAGAACCCACGTTGTCTCGAACTCCCAATACCCTGGAGATAGAATACGGTGAAACATCGTTTTCTCGAACTTCTTAGACCCATGATACGAAATATGGTGAATCCTCGTTTTCTCGAACTCCCTAGAACCTGGGGATAGAATATGATAGACCCTCGTTGTCTCGAACTCCCTAGACCCTGGATACGGAATATGGTGAATCCTTGTCAAGAAATATTAGGATTTTGTAGTTCGCTCGTACACTTGAGCATTCTCTGTGTGCGTGAGGAAAGGAAGGTCGTTATTACATACTCTGCGCTGTGTGACTAAATCCTTTGTCTCGAACTCCCAATACCCTGGAGATAGAATATGGAGAACCCACGTTGTCTCGAACTCCCAATACCCTGGAGATAGAATACGGTGAAACATCGTTTTCTCGAACTTCTTAGACCCATGATACGAAATATGGTGAATCCTCGTTTTCTCGAATTCCCTAGAACCTGGAGATAGATTATGATAGACCCTCGTTGTCTCGAACTCCCTAGACCCTGAATACGGAATATGGTGAAACCTTGTGGCTCGAACTCCCCATAACCTGGAGATGGAATACGGTCAAACATCTTGTACTCGAACTTCCTAGACCCTGGAGATAGAACATGATGAGCCCTCGCTGTCTCGAACTCCCTAGACCCTGGAGATAGAACATGATGAGCCCTCGTTGCCTCGAACTCCCTAGACCCTGGAGATAGAACATGATGAGCCCTCGTTGTCTCGAACTCTCTAGACCCTGGAGATAGAACATGATGAGCCCTCGTTGTCTCGAACTCCCTAGACCCTGGAGATAGAACATGATGAGCCCTCGTTGTCTCGAACTCCCTAGACCCTGGAGATAGAACACGATGAGCCCTCGTTGTCTCGAACTCCCTGGACCCTTGATACGGAATATGGTGAATCCTAGTTGTCTCGAACTCCCTACATCCTCGAGATCTGATGAAACATCTTTAACTCGAACTCTCTAGACCCTGAGACAGACTACAGTGATCCCTCCTTATCGCAAACTCTTCAGACCCTGAAGAATATTTGTATTTGTTCTATTTCGACACTCGACATCGCGACTTATATTCGGGTTATTGAGATTCGACTGTAAATAGAAAGTATCAATATAGTAGTTTTATGACACATGAAGACCACGACAAAATACTAGAGCGGAGATACAGGTTTGTCATAGTTAGTGTTTTACAAGTACAGATCAAATCCATTTAATGAAATTCTCAACATTTTGTGAACTCGTATCACGTGCTCTGTGATAACATACAAATACGTGGGATATCATAGGTGTTCGAAAGTTCATCGTCAAAGCCGTGTTTTCTATATTATATTTTACTTTCATTTTATCATTCAGAAATTTTAATACATTGCTATCATATTGCTGATGCAAACTGATGCCGGTCATACAAAGTCAAAATATATGTAATATGTTCGAAAACACCTATCCCGTCCTGTTTGATCAATACTAGATTCCCACATCATAAAAAGAATAAAAATACATAGATAAAAAGTAGTACAGAAAAACAAAGTCATTACGCTCTGAATAACATCATGTATTTTCCACGAGAATCCTATTTTGTAAATTGTCAGCAAAACATGTCAATCTGTCCATTAACATATTTAACTTGTTTGAATTTCGTAACGTTGTAGAACCTATTAACTCATGTGATGCCGCTGTCCTGTTTAAACAGTTAGAATCATAAGCGTCTGTAGTCAGAATGACACTCGCTGGTTTGCGCCAGAACTGACCGCTATATGTCAGAACGCTGTTATTACGGTAGTTATTCGACATTAGACGCTAACGGGTCATGTATTACAACCGTCAGGGCGAGATAACACGCCATTAGTGGCCGGCTAAGTGGGTGGTAATGCCAGTCCCTACTGCGAGTGTTATGCAACACCCGCTAAAGTTAGGCGACATTAGGCTCTCGATGGGGTAACAATTGCAATTGGGACTCTTCGTTTTCCCATCAATAAAAATGGACAATCGGGGACCTATTCATCTCCGCTAATGGTCAGCCTTCCTATTCAATCTGACCACTGTCCAGTAGCCTTGTGTGACAACAAGGGTATAGGTATCCAGGGTCACTGTCCGTTGTCATTTTCTGTAAGAATGATCTGATGATAATGGTAAGAAAACAGAATAGCCTTCAAGAACAATGATCTATCGGCGCGCCGAAGATCTGATTACATGAATAGAATTGGGAGGGTAATGATTGCGTATGAGGAAAATGATTGTCTATATCGGTGGCAAAAGAAAATGATTACGTGTTGGCCGATATCTTATAATAATAAAAGAGGTGGAAGATAGAGAGATTATTAGCATCATGGGATGAACCTTTGATGCCATGGTAGAAAGGTAGGGTTGATATGGGTGTACATTATTCGTTGCCGTGATAGAATGACCGAGTTTATGAAAGCTGTAATTTGAGGGTGGCTGTGTGTTTGGATGCAACATTAGATAATGCGAAGTAACAATGACACTTGACGTGATGATATAACGACATTACCGTTTTCCCTCTTTGAATAATGATTTGTCATTTCAACAAGGAGAACATCAGAAATTCACATTGAATGGAAGTCTACAAAAATGAGGTTGCATGGTTGCGTATATTCACGTCACCGGTGCATTGTGATAAATCGTTTAGTTGATTTTATTGCATTTTAGTTACATGTACGTATATCTACCGGATCACGTACCTTGTTCTTAATGTTAGATAATCATTGTTTCAGATTTTATTTTCATGCTTATAAATTCATATAATATTCATTACACATCTATACCACAAGCAGAGTTCATGGTACGATTACGGCTATATCTTAAGCGTCTTTATGAATCATTATTAAAAAGCGATTAAACAGGTGTTCGCGAAAAAGTGAGTATATCCTGTCCCACCGGTGACCCCCGTCACAAACACATGCAAAGGCAAATAACATTACCGATGACACTTTATTAATCCGGGTTAAGTGCACGTGTAACGAGTTTCTTTAGAATCCAATAATTGATTGATGCTTCACTGATTGCAAGCCAAACAATCTATACAAGTCATATTTCAACACAAATATTACACACAATAGCTGTCTATACACGGATAATATCGCTGCGTACAATAAAGAACACGACAATAGGTAGACAATATTTACTACGTGGAAATTCTAAAGCCTCTTCATTGTGTGTGCGATGGTGACATTGTCGTGATAAATTGGTGAAATCCTGTAGTATAGGCCGTCTAAATAGAGGGAAGATTTATTGGAGTAAACATTGCTATTTTAAAGTGGTAGGCTTTATGGCTTTTTAAATATGAGTATAATAGTAAATAGAAGCGACAATGTTTTTCAAATATTCATAAGAAATCTCTGCCAAACAAAGTGTCGGTTGTACGATTGCGACCTATTATGAGCATGTTTTTTTATGAATAACTATCAAATAGTGATGATATAAGTTGTCCGCGAAAAGGCCTCTTGTCACATCATAAATCTCTACTTGTACCTTCAATATGTCATAGCTATGACCTTGAAGCGTGGCACCGGTCACAAACACATGCAAAGCCAAGTCAACGGTTCACCTGAAATAACACTGGAGCAGATGGTACATGTCAAAACAGGGAATTGTATCGGACATAATTCTTGTCACTGATGCGTCAAATTTGGAAATTAGTTAGTAATGCCGTGGAGCCTCTCATTCAATAAACGTGACACATGAGGAAGATGCAATGCAAATTACCAAACTTAAGCAGCTGCAATTAACGTTTGTTTACAGTTGATGAAATACTTGATATGATTTAGTTGGTTCAGTGAATTTACTTCTTTATCAATGCGTTTGAAATCAATCTTTGTTTGCATATAGTTTTTGTCGAGAACTAACCCTTGTATTCAGTTGTATTCCTGGTTAGAATGGGTCTCCATTATGTTGGTTGTACGAGATGACTTAATGGATCAGGTGGTCAAATGTGGTGAACTGGTTGTTGCCTGTCATCATACACTGGCGGCGTTAGTTTGTTGCTCATGATATCAATCACTGCTTGGTCTCGAATATATACAGGCCGCTGTCATATACCTTGAATGTTGTTTAAACAAACAAACAAAACTGTATTCTAGTGAAATGGCTTTCGAAAATTCTATAACTATCTTTCGATCTGTAGGTAATCATTTGGGAAACATCAGTTATAAGTTGTAATAATTCTAGTTAATACGATAAGATTAATAAAGATGTTGCGATGATTGACAGTAACGAAGCAAGTGTGCCGCATCACAAAATGATGCAGAAACACAGACAATGCTCATGGTACATCGATGTTCTTTCTGTAGGAAGGTCTCTGGCCTCTGAAACTGGTGGTACTTTTGATTTTATTCATTATTCCTGTCTGATTAAAAACAACTTTTTATAGAGTCAACCGAGCATGTGTTAATGATATATGCTCAGTGTGTTTTTGTGAATACATACTGCCCAAATGAATCCAAAGAACAGTCGATTCTTTCAAACTACTATAGTTAATCTGTTATGGCATGCCAGATGAACTATAATAATATGAAAGAATCGGGTGTTCTTTCACTTCTTTTGAGTAGTATATTTTACAAGAAGCTTCTCCATAAAGTATAAGCTATACAGCATATGGGTAAGAGACACTTGGAAAAGACTCCAACACACGTTCCCAACACTCCAGTATCTTAATCAAGGATTCCCCATATCTCGCCAACAACAGACCTACAATCACGTTGTTCGGGATTAGACGAGATTAGACGAGATTTCTACCATGTCCTCTCAGCTATGATATATTTACAGAAAGTGTAATGGATTGTATAATCAAGTGATAGCTGCTTGGTTCGTTTGTGAAAAGGATGGCGACCTTTCCATCCAATTTTAAATTACCACACGTAATGTCGCATAGTGTTCGCATAGTGTTATCACCCTGTCATTACAGGTTTGTAATAGGTCGTACCACGCGGTGCATCTTGCACTCTATGTTAGTATGGATCTTCACATCTTGGTACTGTGTTAATCGGTTCGGTTTTGTTGTTAGGTTATTACAACTAATATTAGAGCTAGATATTGTCTGGTCTTTGATGGGCATTTAGAAGTTGGAAGAACATTAAAAAAATGAGGGAGAACATCGGTGAATGATGACTAAGGGGCACAAAGTAGTCATGAAACCTCGTTACAATGAATAAAGAAGTTGTTATCCATAAAAAAAAGTTCCATGTCATAGATAATTTCCATATGAAACAGAAGACATTGAATGAGTGTAATAATATTTTGGGTTTGGCCATCTGTGGATGATGATCTGGTGATAAGGTCAAAAAGTATGTTTCCAGCTTGTATTTCATAAACAATGGTGATAAATATACACTGTTAAATATTGAAAGGGTATTGGTACGGTGTTATTATTCTCTTCGGATTCCTTTTGGTATGGTGACCTCTTCATATGACTCATGGTAGTTTTAGCTCTTCGTATATCATAGGTATTTGCAGCTCTCCACATATCATATGGTTTTGGGACCTCTTTCTTATATTGATCGCTGTCTTGTAACTATTCAAAATGCATGTGTCACCTCTTACATTTCTTGAGGTATTATAAACTCGTCAGATTGTTCATACAGTTATGTAACCTAACTGTTTTATTGGCATTCTAGAAGATGGCAAATACTAAGAAAAACGTGCTACTTTATGGATAACAACTTCTGGTTTATTGCACGTAGCGACGTTTCGATGTACTTCTCATCACTTGGTTGTTGTCACTCCAGCTTGATAACGGTGTAAGAATCTACATTGAAACGTCGCTATATGCAATAAACCAGAAGTTGTTATATATAACGTTGTACGTTTTTCTTAGTTATGCAACCTGTTTCCAATTGTGACCTACAAATTAACTGTGACATGTTCAGATTCACGAGGCATGGTGACCTGTTCAGATTGTGCATCTTCTCCTGACCTGCATACACAAATCGCACCAAACAGTTGTCGTACCATTGAACATATCAAAGCCAATATTATGACGGTACCTATGAATTATGATACCACACTTCAAGTTGTCATTAGGATGCCTCCAGAACCCTCGGCGTTGCAAGTTGAACGTTATACAAATACCCCAGTGAACAGTCGGCCATGCCATTTGTACATACAGGTGACAACTTCCTTCTCTGAAGATTGACACCAAGTATTCTGAGCCTCCCGGGGCGAGAATAATTCCGATATTTAAAATGCCAGTCAGGGATGACACTAGTGGGTGCTCTGTTTCAGCAGAACTGCCAAAAAGTGAGGTTCTGGCCTGTTCTCTGCCGTCAGCTTAGATTTGCTGAAACGTCGCTCCCGTTGCCTAATTAGACGAGGGGAGAGGAGCTCTCCCGGGCAAACCCAGTGCTGCGGATGAGAAGTGATTTCCTTATCAATAGGCTGTAATCACCCAGCGGTCCCCGGAGCCAAGTCCCATCTCCCGCCACGAACAGGGACAACAATGGTGGGACAGAGAACAATGCCTCCAAATGAATTCAAGTTCGCTCGATGCGGGGAATTTGGCGAGTGGGGCCAAATAGAATTTCTTCACATGCTAACAATGGACTGAAGATGAAAATTGTTGCTACAAGTGCCCGTTGGAATGACACTCCTTTGTCCCAGGAAATAATCATCAAAAAGATAATACAACTCATTTTGGATGTTACACCAATCGTGGGTGTTGACTTAACACGTCAGCGCATTCAGATTCAGATTGAAATGACGTTTTTGTGAGTTGTACGTGAGATTCGGCTCTCCCGTGCCGAACATTTCATTCTTGGCACATCATCCGTGGGTAGCGCACAATACGTCTGCTTCAAGTGTTACATATACAAATTTCAATCAATTTAATCGTTATTTCGATCAAGGAAGTGGTTGATTGACATCTTGTTTATTTCAGTGTCTTCTTGACCTAAATATTGATCCTGATAATAATTGGTTAAGTACAGACAAGGATGGAAATGCCTTGAATTAGTAAACAAGCGTTATGCTAGTTGACTTTCTTCAGGACAGTGTTCTACCCAGGTCCAGTGTTTACTTACGTTAAAGGGGCGAGGGGAGCTCAAGTAAGCAAGCATACCCTTCTTCTGCTTCTTATTAAGGCTCCCTTTCACCATAACGAATACACATAATGTGTTGCTTTCGACATTTCAGTGAAAGGGTTCTGTTTGTATTTTTTATTAGATGTTTGGATGTTGGTTTTGACTTCAGAGAGAGGTTATTATACGAGAATGTGTGTCATACTGATGTTACGAAACGAGTGCCAGAACTCTTGTATTTCGAGACCGAGGGCGAGGGTATTACGTCAAATCTTGCACGAGTTTCTTAAAATCAGTATGACATACATGCGAGTGTAATACTTTCTTAATTACTCATTACTTCCTAATCCTTTTGAGCTAACCTCAAATAAATGCCCTGGCCATAACCGCCGTCTCAGAAAACCACAAGTCTTCAGCTGTGACGTCGTTTCTGGTGTGACGTCATTCCTACCTTACGTCACAAAAGGATTCAACGCCGCTCTGAAGAGTATTTATATTCGAAACTGCCAGTTTCATCCAGCTGAATAATACACAGGTAATTCTCGTTTACCATCTGACAAACCAAGTATCATAATCAAAGTTTGACTTCTAACTAAGAATGCGTACATTAATATACGTCTGACAATGTAAAAAAGCGACAACCCCCTTTCCATATTCATAAAATAAATATATGCTCAAAGCAGTCCATTGTTCTATTCCGACTGTCATAAGCATGTGTTTATGAATCATAAACAAACAGTGAGGATATCGGGTGTTAGCGAAAAGGTGAACGCATCACAAACACATGCAAGGACAAGTCACAATGCTTACATCCTATGTTAGTTTCAATGTGTTTTACATCGCTTAACACACACCCTTATCATGATTGCATAAATATTATAGAATATATTGATTCCTTTTTGATGACATTCATGCAAGAGACACTTAAACTAATGCAAACGTCTTTTTCCGCTGAGAGTTCGTTGTAGAGCTGGTCTGTTTGTCGAGTTAAAAATGTCTCCAATTTAAGAAGGAAATGGAAGACCGCTACTAAATCCTTAATAGTGTGCACGTTGTCAATTACATAATGTTGTCTCAGCATGACCCATGCTTTTCCTATCAAACAAAAACATCGGAAGAGGTGATTATTAAATCTACTCTCTATCGCAGCATCAGTTGCATCACGTACAAGATTCAGTAGCACGCATTCTTAAGCATCTCTCCAAATAAATGAAACCGCTCTCGTGTATGCTCTATTGATGAGAAACATCAAAATATGTCGTACATTCATCCAATCAACCACTTGTGGCGGTTGTAACCTCTCACGACCTGCAATATACAACCCGTTGTCAATAACAAGGGCGGGGCACATGTCACAACTTATAGAATTTCTGCCAAGACATTAATGGCATGACACTCCCTCTTAACCAGATCCCCGACACAATATGGGAGAATCAATGAATCGCTGAACTGGGGAGAAATCGGCGTTTTAAAGAAATGGGTTAAAAAGCAATCAATTAGTTAGTTGATATACCTGAGTGCGTTGATTGGCATGAGGTGCATGTGAGTGGAAAATCAGTTCTGTGTTGATGTCACCTGTCAGGGTTGTCTGTTTCAATGACAGATGATTCGTAAGGTTAGCTTGCCCTCGCCTCTGTTTTGGGTTCAGACCCCGAGGACAACGGCTCCGTACCATTGTACAGCCTGGTCATTGTCTAGCTTAGGGACTCGTTGTGTTGGGCTCGCTTTGGCGTTACTTAATTATATAATGTACATCTTGTAACTGCAATAGGGACATTCGAAGCTGCGTAAAACACGACTCACTCACTTTTAGAAAAGAAACTGTGTCAAAGTCTTGAATATATCGTTTTCCAGTTCTGTTGAAAGCTGTTTTCAAGTTAAATAAACCAATAATATTCTCACAATCAATATCTTCTTTTTTTAAAGATCTGATTCGCGATTGTGAGTATAATTTGTTTATGTATAACTTGAAAATGATTTGTTTCAAAACTGGAAAAAGGCTTTATTCAAGACTGGCACAGTGTATTG